CTAAAATCTTTAGTTCCTAAAATAAATAACAATGTTTTGACCTGTGACTGAGAAAATATTGAAGATCATATTTGTTTAAAATTTTACATCTGTCATGAGTTTTATTTCTGTTTTTGGTTCTGCTTAATCAAGAATCTACATAATATATCAGATAATGAGATAAATTGTATTTTTACAACTGTGTTGTTTTCAGTAGAAAGGCTTAGAAAAAAATACCACTGAATTGAATTGGGATTTTCATTACTTATATTAGTCATGATGTTTAATTCACAACCACATACATATATACACACAGAGAAATGGACATATCTATACTTCCCTGTGCAGACAGTTTGTAGTCATAATCCTTTCAAAGAAGCCCACTCTACTTTAAGTGTATGGGAACTCTTTTTGCCTGCTGCTTTGGCACAGAAATACTGCTACCAAGAAATTTTATTCCTAAGTCTGTCCTTCATCCCTTATTTCAGGAATTTCTCTAAATTGTTCATTAGATATGAGGTTTTGATGAGATCTAGTAAGACTGAAAGGTTTTTAATCTTGGGGTAAGTTTTTTTAATATAATGATACTTCAGGTCCACATGTCAGCATAGTGCTGTGAATTATTGGTTAAGGGCCTTCAATATGTAAGTATTGAAAGTGAGGATAAGAATTTAGAAAGTTAGGTAATTTGACAGAATAGTTGTATGACTGTCAAACTTCGTGTAAAATTTGAGCTTGTTTTCAGCATGTCTTTTAAGATTTATTTTCCTACAAGTACATTTTTATTGTATTTTATAAAAGTATTTATTCATTAATGATTGGAAATTAAAAAACAAACAAAACTGGTCTTTACCACAGGGGGTTTGAGAAGCTCAGCTTTAATATATTTTATAAGGCTACAAGTTTTGGTGAGGGAAAGATTTGATTGCCACTTGAATTCATTCTGTTCTTAGTAGAGTCAAGATACCTCTGTACCATTACTTGAGTAAAGGCCAAAATAATATTTACAGTTTTGATTTTGTTGAGGATGCATTTGAGTTTTCAGGTCTTTAAAGGACAGAGAAAGACAAATACTGTATGATTTCACATATATGCAGAATCAAAAAAACCCCCAAAACACAGACTTATAGATACAAAGAACAAACTGATGCTTGCTAGAGGGAGATGGGTGAAAAAGGTGAAGGGCATTAAGAGACAAACTTCCAGTTATAAAATAAGCTGTGGGGATGTAATGTACAGAATAGGAAATACAGTCAGTGTTATTGTAATGACTGTGTATGGTAACGAGTGGTTATTAGACTTATTGTGGTGATTACTTCATAAGGTATAAAAATGTTAAATCACTATGTTGAACATACAAAACTAATAAAATCTTGTATGTCAATAATAATAATAGGAGAGTACACTGCTACCAGATTCTCTATGTTTTTTTAGGAAATTCAGTTTCCTACATAATTTTCTTAACCTTTGATTATTTACAATGAGATTGGAGATGAAATTAAAACATTTTGAAGGAAAAATAGGTAAGGCTTATCGATTGATTTAATATAGGGCTGAAGAAGAGGAGAGAATCAATTATGACTGAGGTTTGAAGTACTAACATCTTAGAGAATTGAGTGGAGAGGTAATTTCAGAAAAATACGATAGAGTTGTTCTACATTAGTTGTACTGACAGTGTCAAGATTATAGATGAAACCATTAGTTATGATAATAGCTCAAATATGAAGTTTAATTCTTTAGTCAGCAAATAGGCAATGAAAATAACAAAGGACCATTTGAATAAAAGAGCGTTGGTATGTTTCTAATGTTGGAAGAAATAGTAGTAAGAAAAGTAACTGGAAAAGATAACAGAAAAATTAGTAGAGTAGTAAGTAAAATCACACAAAAGCAAAGAAAGACAGGAAGAGTTTCATAAAGGAAAAGGTTATCAGAATTTAGGGCTCCCTGCAGTTTAAGGTCTTTAACTGAATTCCATTATGGTCATGAAACATACTATTCTATGTAGTTTCAATTCTTTGGAATTTGAGACTTATCTTATGGCTTATCTTGTGGTCTGTTACGGTGAATGTACCATGTGCACTTTAAAAAGAATGTGTATCTTCCAGATATATAGTTTCTATAAATGTTAATTAAATCATGGTGGTTGATAGTGTTATTCAGACTTTCTTTGTACCGATTTATTGTTTACTGGTTCTATCAGTTGCCAAGAGTTGTTAGAATCGCTAGCTAGTGTGGATTTGTCAATTTCTCCCTTCAATCCTGCTAATTTTTGCTTTATGTATTTTGAAGTACTGTTAGTAACATTTATCTATATTACGTTTTCCTAATGAACTGGTCCTTGAATTATTGTGAAATGTCCTTTATTATTGGTAATGCTCTTTCTCTTGATACCTACTTTAATTGAAGTTAATGTAGACATAGCAACTTCCTTATGCTTATGATTTTCCACCTTTCAGTTTTAATCTATACATGTCTTGTATGTAAAGTTTGTCTCTTTTAGAGAACATGTACTTTGAATTTTTATCTATTCTAATAATCTGCCTTTTAACTGGAATGTTCAGTTCACTGGCATATAAAATAATTATTGGTATGGACGGACTTACTTTTTTTACCTATTATTTTAAAGCATAGGTGATATACAATATTGTATTAGTTTCAGGGGTACAAAATAATGATTCAACATTTATATGCCTTACAATTACTAATACTAATAATCATCTGTCACCATGCAAACTTATCACAATATTATTGACTATATTCCACTTCACCCATCCCTCCCACCCACCTCCCCTCTGGCAACCACCAGTTTGATCTCTGTTTCTATGAGTCTGTTTTTGTTTTGTTTCGTTTTTTAGATTTCATATGTAAGTGAAGCCATATGGTATTTGTCTTTCTCTGTTTGACTTCCTTCACTTAGCATAATGCCCTCTAGGTCCATCCATATTGTTGCAAATAGCAAGATTTCTTACATTTTTCTGGATAAATAATATTCCATTGTATGAATATGTACATCCAATTTTCTTTACACATTCATCTCTCAATGGACACTTCGATCGTTTTCCTCTCTTGGTTATTATGAATAATGCTGCAGTGAACATGGGGTACATATTATCTTTTCAGGTTAGTGCTTTTCTCTTCTTTGAGTAATTACTCAGAAGTGGAATTGCTGCATCAGGTGGTAGATCTATTTTTTGTTTGTTGTATCCTCTTTTATTTGAGAAACTATGAAGAACATAGATCTGTTTTTAATTTAATTTGTTGAGGAATCTTTTCCATAGTGGCTGTAACCAGTTCAAATTACCATTAACAGAGCGTTGGTGTTCTCTTTTCTCCACATCCTTGCCAATATGTGTTATCTCGTTTTTTGATGATAACCGCTTTTTTAAATCCTCACCAAGGATATATTTACTGATTTCAGAAAAAGGGTAGTCTGGGAGGGAGAGAGGGGAGAGAGAGAGAGAGAGAGAGAGAGCGAGAGAGAGAATAGGCCTTGATTGATTGCTTCCCATATATGCTCAGACTGGGGATTGAACACACAACCTAGGTGTGTGCCCTGACTGGGAATTGAACCCACAGCCTTTTGGTGCACTGGATAATCTACTAACCAACTGAGCCACTCAGCTAAGGCTGATGATAGCCATTTTGACAGGTGTGAGGTGATATCTAATGGAGGTTTTGATTTTTTAATTGCCTTTTTTTGTTGTTACTGAGTTGTATGAGTTCATTATATATTTTTGGATATTAACCCCCTCATCAGGTATATGGTTTGCAGATATTTTTCTCCCATTTTGTAGGATGCCTTTTTATTTTATTGTTTCTTTTGCTATGTAGAAGCTTTTAGTTTGATGTAGTTACTTGTTGACTTTTACTTTTGTTGCCTGTGATTTTAGTGTTCGATACAAAATATTGTTGCCGTGACCAATGCCAAGGAGGTTTTTCTCTGTTTAGTCTAGGAGTTTGACAGTTTTATGTCTTTCATCCATTTTGAGTGAATTATTGTTAGCAGTGTGAGATAGTACTCCAATTTCATTTTTCTGCATGTGGTTATTCAATTTTCCTAATGCCATTTATTGAAGAACTATTCTTTTCCACTGAGTATTGTTGGCTCCCTCGTCAAATATTAGTTGACTGTATAGGTAGGGGCTTATTTCTGGGTCCTCTATTCTGTTCCATTGGTTTTTGTGCTTGTTTTTATCCCATTGTTATAGAGTTTTAATTATTGTATAGCTTTGTAGTTTACTTTGAAATCTGGAAGTGTGAGGCCTCCAGCTTTGTTCTTCTTTCTCAAGATTGCTTTGACTATTTGGGTCTTTGTGGTTCTATATAAATTCTAGGATTTTTTTTTTCTATTTCTGTAAAAAAATGCCATCGGAATTTTGGTAGGGATTGATCACACTAATGGCCATATGCTAAGCTAAGCCTCTTGTGTTTGTTTGGCATAATATAACTTGCTCTCAAAAATAAGTAAAATTCAAATTTTGGTACACTTGATTTGGAATTATTAAAAGTACAAGAACATAACTAGGGAATTTGCCTGAATGTCACAAAGCTTTTCTGATAATTGTTCAAGCAAGAGAGTTTTTTAATTGCTGTCGCACTTATGGTTTGATTGGAGGGGGGGAAATAGTGACTGACTAGAAAGTAAAGAAATACTTGAAAAAAACATTCTTTCTTAGTATCCTAAGTGATCTAGGTGGCCAGTGAATGGAGGGTTCAGTGTGGTGTGCACCCGGAGCAGGCTGTGAGACAGGATTGTGATGGATTTAATTACAAAGTATTCAGTATTTTGAGGCTTACCTGGGTTAATCATTTAAAATATTTAGTAAGCTAGTAAGTAAGCAAGGAATCAGAAGTATATTTCTGACATGGATAGATGCTTAGGAAAGAAGTAAGGATTTGCAGTATCATCATCCACTTAAAGGTGATAGTTAACCTGTCTATAGGAGGAGGAGAGAGGGTGTAAAAGGAAATGCAGAGGTCTGAGAATATTATATAACAAATTATATCTTTGTTTAAACCAGAATTTTTTAGAAAAATCAACTGAAAGAGAAACTCGCCAAGAATATGCTCTGGCTATGATTCAGTGCAAAGTTCTGAAACAGTTGGAGAACTTGGAACAGCAAAAGTACGATGATGAGGATATCAGTGAAGATATAAAATTTCTTTTGGAAAAACTCGGTGAAAGTGTTCAGGATCTTAGGTATGTTATTTTTAATTCCCAAAGGCTGGATATATTGGACTTCGTTTGACTCGTCTGGTATTTTAAGGAAATTTAAATCTGTTATTAAATATTTAATATTTAAATAAGATACTCAAAAAAATAAGTTACTCAAAAGATTTTACTAAAATGTTATGTCTTCTATTAAATATTTGGAAGATAAGGAAAGAAACACTGGCTTATCACTATATTAGCAGTTGCCTAGAGCTGTGTGTTATTTCTTCTCTTTGGGGAGTATTCTACCATTTTCCTTTTAAAATTGGACTGCTTGGACTACACAGGTTGCTGGCACTACCATGGAACTCTTTGAGAATCTCCCCCTGGTTTAGAATCCTTTAAAGCAGTAATGGTTCTTAATTTGTGGAGGAGTTCTGCCCATAACTGGAAAATTTTTTCCTGCTCTCTTGAAATTCCTATTAGTTTTATTTATTTTTTATGTTAAACATTATGCAAATGATGTACATGCAGTAAAGAAAAAAAACTTTTACACAGTACAGAAGGGAATCCATGCCACTTCCACTGTCTTTCCCACCTATTCCCATGTCCCTTTCCTTCCCCTTGGCACATGCATGTGCTCGCATGCACGTGCACACAGATAATTGGGTGCTTATGTAATCTTCTGGATCTTGTTACTTTTTTTTAACATGATGATTTTTCCCATTAATCCCTATATTCTTTATTTATTTTTTCTTTTTTAAAGTATATTTTATTGATTATGCTATTGCAGTTTTCCCATTTTCCCCCTTTTGTATCCCTCTGCCTAGTACCCCCATTCCCTCCATGAATCTCCTCCCACCCCCCCACCCTTAGTTCATGTCTGTGGTTTGTACATATATGTTCTTTTTTTTTTGAGTTTTCAAAAGGACTTTATTTTTTTTAATTAATTAATTAATTTTTTCAAATACATTTATCTCTGCCTCCCCCCCACCACTTTCCCTTGCCCCCTCCCTCCCTCCTCCCCTCAACTCTTCCCCTTTAGTTTCGTCCATGAGTCCTTGCTATACGTTCCTTGACTTTCCCCTTCCCTTCCATTTCCCCCGCCCCACCTCCCTCCTCACCTCTTGTCTCTGTTGGTTTCTTTTCCTTTCAGTGTTGCTGGTCTTATTTTCCTTGCATCTTTGTATTGTTGGTTAGGTTCCACTTACAGGTGAGATCATATGGTATTTGTCTTTCGCCCCCTGACTTACTTCGCTTAGCATAATGCTCTCTAGTTCCATCCATGCTGTCGCAAAGTTTAGTAGTTATTTTTTTCTTTCTGCTGTGTAGAATTCCATTGTGTAAATGTACCATACTTTTCTGATCCAATCATCTACTGATGGGCATTTAGGTTGCTTCTAGCACTTGGCTATTGTCAATTGTGCTGCTATGAACATTGGGGTACATAGGTTCTTTTGAATTGGTGTTCTGGTATTCTTAGGGTATAGTCCCAGTAGGGGAATCACTGGATCAAAAAGCAGTTCCATTTTCAGCTTTTTGAGGAAATTCCACACTGCTTTCCACACTGAAATTCCACAATGGCTGCACCAGTCTGCATTCCCACCAACAGTGTACTAGTGTTCTCTTTTCTCCACAGCCGTGCCAGCACCAGTTGTTTGTTGATCTGTTTATGATGGCCATTCTGACCGGTGTGAGGTGGTACCTCATGGTGGTTTTGATCTGCATTTCTCTGATGGCTAGTGATGCTGAGCATCCTTTCAAATATCTCTGGGCCCTCAGTATCTCCTCCTTGGAAAAGCGTCTGCCCAGGCCCTTTGCCCATTTTTTGATTGGATCATTTGTCTTCTTGGAGTGGAGTCGAGTGAGTTCTTTATATATCTTGGAGATCAACCTCTGTCTGATGTATCATTAGCAAATATATTTTCCCATAGGGTTGGCTCCCTTTTCATTTTGCTGATGTTTTCTTTCGCCGTGCAGAAGCTTCTTATTTTGATGAGGTCCCACTTGCTTATTCTTTCCTTTATGTCCCTTGCCTTAGGAGACATATCGGTGAAAAAACTGCTGCGTGGGATATCTGAGAGTTTCCTGCCAATGTTCTCCTCTAGGACTTTTATGGTGTTGCGACTTATATTTAAGTCTTTTATCCATCTGGAGTTTATTTTTGTGTATGGTGTCAGCTGATGATCCAATTTCAATTTTTTGCATGTAGCCGTCCAGCTCTCCCAACACCATTTGTTGAAGAGGCTATTATGGCTCCATTTTATGCTTCTGCCCCCTTTGTCAAATATTAGATGCCCATAGAGACCTGGGCTTATTTCTGGGCTTTCTGTTCTGTTCCACTGATCTATGGTTCTGCTCTTGTGCCAGTACCAGATTGTTTTGAGTATAGTGGCTTTGTAGTAGAGTTTGATGTCCGGTATTGTGATCCCTCCTACTTTGTGTTTCTTTCTCAAAATTGCTGTGGCTATTTGGGGTCGTTTATAGTTCCATATAAATTTTTGAAATGTCTGTTCTATTTCTGTGAAATATGTCATTGGTATCTTAATAGGGATTGCGTTGAATCTATAAATTGCTTTGAGTACTTTGGACATTTTGATGATATTAATTCTTCCAATCCATGAGCACGGTATATGCTTCCATTTATTTGCGTCTTCCTTAATTTCTTTCTTCAGTGTTGTATAGTTTTCTGCATACAGGTCTTTTACCTCTTTGGTTAAATTTATTCCTAGGTACTTTATTTTTCCTCTTGCTATATCGAATGGTATATTTTTTCTGATTTCTTCTTCTTCTATTTCATTGCTGGTGTACAAAAATGCCTTTGATTTCTGAATATTGACTTTGTATTCTGCTGTTTTGCCAAATTTACTTATTAGGTTGAGGAGTTTTATGGTAGAGTCTACAAGGTTTTCTATGTACACTATCATGTCATCTGCAAACAATGATAGCTTTACTTCCTCCTTTCCTATTTGGATGCCTTTTTATCTCTTTTTCTTGTCTGACTGCTGTGGCTAGGACTTCCAATACTATGATGAAAAGAAGCAGTGACAGCGGACATCCTTGTCGTGTTCCCGATCTTAGTGGGAAAGCTTTTATTTTTTGCCTGTTGAGTATGATGTTGGCTTAGGTTTTTCATATATGGCCTTTATTACATTGAGGAATGCCCCACTTATTCCCATTTTGCTGAGTGTTTTGATCATAAATGGGTGCTGTACCTTATCGAATGCTTTTTCTGCGTGTATTGAGATGATCATGTGGTTTTTGTCTTTTATTTATGTGATGTATGACGTTTATTGACTTGTGTATATTGAACCATCCCTGCATCCCTGGGATGAATCCCACTTGATCATGGTGGATAATCTTTTGAATGTATTGCTGGATGCGGTTTGCCAATATTTTGTTGAGGATTTTAGCATCTATGTTCATCAGCGAAATTGGCCTGTAGTTTTCCTTCTTTGTAGGGCCTTTATCTGGTTTTGGTATCAGGGTGATGCTGGTCTCATAGAAAGAGTCTGGGAGTCTTCCCTCCTCTTGGATTTTTTGGAATAGTCTGAGAAGGACAGGGATTAGCTCTTCCTTAAATGTTTTGTAAAATTCTCCTGTGAAACCGTCCGGCCCAGGGCTTTCGTGTGCCGGGAGTTTCTTGATTACTGCTTCAATTTCCCCAGCTGTTATCGGTCTGTTCAAGCTTTCTGTTTCTTCCTCCTTCAGTGTTGGAAGATTATACTTTTCTAAAAATTTGTCCATTTTCAAGGTTTTCAAATTTCTTGGCATATAATTGTTCATAGTAGTTTCTAACAATCCTTTGTATTTCTGTGGTATCAGTTGTTATTTCTCCTCTTTCATTTCTGATATTATTAATTTGGGTCCTCTCTCCTTTTTTCTTGATGAGTCTGCTTAATGGCTTGTCAATTTTAGTTATCTTTTCAAAGAACCAGCTTCTGGATTGGTTGACCCTTTGAATTGTTCTTTTTGTCTCTATGTCATTCAGTTCTGCTCTGATCTTGACTATCTCCTTCCTTCTACTTGCTCTGGGATTTATTTGTTGTTCTTTCCCCAGTACTTGAAGTTGTAGTGTTAGGTCTTTTATTTGAAATGTTTCTATCTTTTTTAGGTAAGCCTGTATTGCTATGAACTTCTCTCTCAGGACTGCCTTTGCTGTGTGTCATAGGTTTTGGACAGTTGTCTGTTCATTTTCATTTGTTTCCAGAAATTTTTTGATTTCTTCTCTTATCTCATTATTGACCGATTCATTGTTTAATAGTGTACTGTTCAGTCTCCATGAGTTTGCAAGTTTTTGAAGTTTCTCTTTGAGGTTGATTTCGAGTTTCAAGACCTTGTGGTCTGAGAAAAAGTTTGGTATGATTTCAATTTTCCTGAATTTGCTGAGGCTTGCTTTGTGTCCTATCATGTGGTCTATCTTTGAAAAACTGCCATGAGCATTTGAAAAGAATGTGTATTTTTCTTCTTTGGGATGTAAGGTTCTATATATGTCAGTAAGTCTCTTTGATTCAGTGTGTCATTCAGCGCCATGATTTGTTTATTAATGTTTTGTTTGGAAGATCTGTCCATTTTTGACAGTGGGGTGTTGAAATCCCCTACTATCAGTGTGTTGCTGTCTGTATCTTTTTTGAAGTCATCCAACAATTTCCTTATAAACTTGGGGGCTCCTATATTGGGAGCATATAAGTTTACAATGTTGATGCCTTCTTGAGAGATTCTTCCTTTAAGTATGATAAAGTGCCCCCTCTGGGTCTCTCTTTATGGCCTTTGCTTTGAAATCTACTTTGTCTGATACAAGTGTGGCAACGCCAGCCTTTTTCTCATGTCCATTTGCTTGGAATATTATTTTCCATCCCTTTACTTTCAATCTGTGTAGGTCTTTTGCTCTGAGGTGGGTCTCTTGTAGGCAGCATATGTGTGGGTCATGTTTTCTTATCCATTCAGCTACCCTGTGTCTTTTGATTGGGGCATTGAGTCCATTCACATTGAGAGATATTACTGATAGAAACTTACTCATCTTTTCTCTTTGTACTTGTGTTCCTCTC